ATGTGCAGTGACGCCCACCAGGCCTGGTCGGAGGGCCCTGAGCCAGCCCGGATCTTCCTGAGGGCCGATCCCCGGCCATGGGGCCTTGCTGGTCACGGCTGTTGGTGCGCGCAGCCTGGCTCTGGTGTCCAGGGCGTGTTGGGCTTCAGATTCCTCGTCTCTTAACAGGAGCAGCCTGGGATCTGACGGCCACCAGGCCCCTTATAGGGTCCAGAGCGCCCTGCTTCTCACACAGGGAAACTGAGTCACGGAGGACTGAGCTCTGAGCATCCCTGGGTGTCTGCCACTGCCCCCTTGGGAAGGCAGGCCCAATGTCATGGGCCCTGGGCCAGGGGCCATTACATTCAATTCAAGGTGGGGAAACTGAGGCCAGAAGATTCAGGTCCCCTTGACCCTCATCTAGGGACCTCAGTTTTGAAACTGCGCCACTTTGAACACGGTGCCTGCCCCAAGAACTTCATTGAACAGTGGGCTGTAGGTACTAGCACAAGGCTCAGTTGGTATAGTGCTGGGTGCTGACCTCCATTTGAGCACCATATAAACCGAGTGTGGTGGTGCACATCTGTCATCCAAGCGCTGGGGGGCTGGAGGCAGGAGGATCATGGTTTCAAGGTCATCAGCTCCCAATTGGAGGCCAGCCTGTGCTACATGAGACCCTTTTGATGCTACCCACCTAAGAAAAATAAAGCCAAGATCGCTAAGTAGGCCCCTCTGAGGGAACACAGTTGACCCAGGGAAGTGGGTTTGGTGTTACGAGTCCAGTAGCTGGCCTGACACTGAGCAACAGGTGCTAAGACAGGAGTCGAGGAGTCCAGCTCTGCCTTCCGGGCTCACGCACCTTCCTGTGGCCTTCAGTTGAGCCCTGCACTCATGGGTTCACCGTTCAGAGCCCTCAGCATCCTGAGCACTGACTGGTACAGGGTACCCTAGCATTGTGTCATTAGCATTTGCTCCAAGAGTCTACCTGTTCCACTAAGCTGGACTTAGACCCAGAGTCAGGTATGGAGACAGGCCAGGTGGCTGCCCAGTTCTCAAAGCAGATCAAAGGGCCTGGAATGTAATAAGGACCCTCTTCCCAGGGTCCACCTGTGCCAGCTGCATGCTGGATGCAGCCAGGCTGGGTCCCTAAGGTGGGGACCCCCAGACAGATCTGGCTATGGAAGAAGGCAGCCAGGGGAGTCAGCTAGGTTGTGTAGTAGGTCCCAGTCTTGAGTGACACAGGGTTCCTGGCTTTAGGCGAGTCCCTGTTTGAACAGTGCTGTGCCAGGCATCTGACACTCATGTTTCTCGCTGACTGTCCCTTCCCCTTCCACAGACGCACCTGCTCTCAAAGCTACCCATTCCAGACAGCCAGGTCCTCACTGTCAATCCTGCCCTGCCTGTAGAGGATGCTGCGGAGGACTACGCCAGGAAACTGAGGCAGGTGGGTCCCAGAACAGGTGGAGAAGTTTTAGAAGATGGGGACACAGGTTGTCATTCAGAGGGGGCCTACTGCAGAGAGACTCAGGCTGGGGCCTCATGTCTCAGGTACACTCATCTTCAGACCCAAGGTTCTTGGTCACTGAAAGGAAAATTGAGCCTCCTGCTGGATCAGTCTGATGTGATAGCGTATCTGTGACCCCAGCACTTGGGACACTGAGACAGGAGGACTGTCCAGAGTTCAGGCCAGCTTGAAGGTGACACTCGGTCTCAAAAAACACTGCTGATTTTAGACCATGCGGAAGCTGCCCAGTGCTAGGGTGGCCACTGTACTTCAGTGCTTGCTGAGTGACACCCTCGCGGTGGAAAATGGTTGAAGCTGAAGCCGGAGGATCCAGACACGGGAACCTGGTTCCAACTTCTTTCTGTGTAACCTCTGACCCACTGTCCTCCCCATCAGGCCTTCCATGAAGACACTGTTCCTGTGTTTGACCTCCTGATCCTGGGAATAGGCCCGGATGGCCACACCTGTTCTCTCTTCCCTGGTCATCCCCTCCTACAGGTGAGCATGGGACCCATCTGGGCCTGTGTCAGTTTCCTGCGTATCTGAGTGCCCACACACTGCAGCCCAGCCCTGCAGAGCCTCAGATCCCTTGTCATCGAAGGACTTAGGAAGGGTCATGAAGATCATAGTGAGGCTGAGTGCAGCCTGGGTCACAGAGTAAGAGCCTGTCCCAAACACCCAAAAGACTGTCAAAGGAAAGCCTGGTGACTCTGTAAACTTGGTATTTGACGGGGACGGGGGTGGGGGCGGGGGAAGGGGCAGATTCATTCCAGCTCCACAAATACAACAAGAGGTTGGGCTTGACTTGTTCCCCCGCAGGAGCAAGAGAAGATCGTGGCTCCCATCAGTGACTCCCCAAAGCCACCACCGCAGAGGGTAACCCTGACACTCCCTGTGCTGAATGCAGCCCAGAGTGTGGTTTTCGTGGCCACAGGGGAAGGCAAGGCAGCTGTGCTCAAGGTAAGGACGACCAGCAGGGTGCTCCTGGGCCATTAGGCAAAGTCAGAGGGTGGTCAGAGGTGGTCATGGACAGGCCCTGCCCCCAACTGAATGCTGGCTGTGGCCATGTGTGTCTCTAGAGGGCAGGGTGGTTGGGGCTTGATGGTCACTGGCCTAACTCCAGGCTCAGTGAGGGACCCTGTATCAAGGGAATAAGGTACAGGGTGATAGAGGGGGACACCACACATTTAAAGAAGAAAATTTGTCCTTCCAAAGGACCCGGGTTTGACTCACAACACCAACAAAGCAGGTCACATTCATCTTCAGCTGTAGTACCCGGGTTCAGATACCCTCTTCTGGCCTCTGTGGCACCAGGCATGTGTGTTGTGCACAGACATACATGCAGGGAAAACCCCCACACAGATAAAATAGAAATAGAACTAAAAATTACAAAGGGGGAGGGCATAAGAGTTCAGTCCTTGAGTTCTCAGACAACCCGAGTTTGGTCCCCAGCACCACTTGTTCCCATACCGGGTTGGTAGAAACAGGAGGATCATCCTTGGCTACCTAGCAAGTTCAAGGCCAGCCTGGACTACATGAGACCCCGGCCTCCTAATAAAACAACAACAAACAAAAGCTGCTCCACACCACGGAGCTTTAGAGCCCACTAGCACAGGGGAGGACTCCCACGGGTGCCTGTCCCCACATCCGAACAAACCCCCAGTCCGAGCCCCCGGCCTGGCGCTGGGGTCTGAGGCGGAACCGGGTTTTGCACACAGCGCATCCTGCAGGACAAGGATGGAGCACTGCCCGCCACCATGGTGCAGCCGCGCACGGGCTCCCTCTGCTGGTTCCTGGACGAGGCAGCCGCGCGGCTGCTGTCTGTGCCCTTCGAGAAGCATTCCACGCTGTAACGCGGAGTGGGCACGCGTGGGTACTCCGGGGCTGGCCCCCGGCCTCCACCCTGGGCTTTCTGGAAAAGCCTCCGGGGGTCGCGGGACTGGGCCAACTGGGAATTAAACGGAGCATTCCTGGAATTCTGGTCCCTGTGGTTCTTGGTGGCAGAGGGTCGGGCTGACAGCACACTGGGGGCCTCGGAGAAATATGGAGCCTGGGCAACTGGCCCCCCCGCCGTGCACACATCAAAACGAAGAAATGGTCATTCTCAGCTCCAAGCCTTAGAACCAGTTCACGGGTACCGCGTGGCTGCTTGTGTTCCAGCCGTGTGGCCACATCCCTGCCACAAGGGTAAAAGGGAGCTAGACCATGAAAGAACATGCCAGGGTTCATCTGGCACCCCAGCCAGCGCCTCGGTCTCCTCGAAGCTCTCCCAGAGCCTCAAGCAAGGTGAAATATCTTGAGCTTTCCCCGATGATGCCACAGGGTCACATAACAATGAGAGAAGTGTCTGAGGCCAGTCGTATGTCCCCTTAGACGGTTTTCTCCCCTACCTCCTCTTGCAGACACTAAAATGTAGGTACAATGCCTGGAGCTCAAGCAGCCACCTTGGAGCATGAAGTGGATCGGTGTATCAATGGCCTACTGTGGTCCTGTCCCCGCCCAGTCCAGGGGACCTAGTTGGGGAGGCTGGAGGACCTGGCTCTGTGTGGAATTCTGAGAGGCATCCCCAGGAAGGTCCCACAAGCCAGACATGAGGCGGGCATTGAAACCTCCCTGAGCCAACTTGGAACGGAAGGGTGGGGTCCAGAACCACAAATGGGAAGTTTCTTTTGGTGTCTGGTCCCTGAGGACTCCTCAGCTGTGGCAATGAGGAAGTGGAACAGGCTGGGACATAAGACAGTGAAGACACAGCAGAAAGGACGCTGCCCTGCTGGGGAGTCCAACAGCCAAGGGCAGAGGCTGAGCTGGCCTGGCAAAGGAAAGAGATGTGGACGGGAGGACTCATGTGAGCAGCCCTGCCCCTGCACAGGACATACCATTGCCTGTGTCCCTGTCTCAAGGGGGACACTGATACGTAGGGCCTGCCCCATGCTCCAAGGTGGCTGTCATGCCTACACGCCAGCCTCTGGAAAGGGGAGGGGAAGGAAATTGCTTAAGGGAACGTCTTCCCTCGTGGGCAGACTTGAGACGATGGGCACGGGGATGTGTCCCATGCACACTATAACCCACGCCCCAGGTCATTTGTTTGGTCAGTTATCTGTTCTTTTTGTTGAGACAATACTTCATGTAGCCCAGGTTGGCCTCCATCACCTAAACTCCAGATCCCCTGTCTCTGCTTTCTGAGTGCTGGAAAGGCAGAGATGTACCACCCCACCCCCCACCCCGTGTCAGGCAGGGCATAGCTTTTTCCCACACTGCCTTGGTCTCCCCTGGGGCGGTCCCCACTGTCCCCCACAGAAACCCCCAGTCTTGGTCTGGCCTGTCCCCAGGGGACAGGAGGAGTCAGGTGCAGACAGGAGGGGTCGGGGTTTTACCAAACAGCAGTACCCTCCTGGAACTTGGGCCACTTGACTACTACCCCGAACCCTGAGCAGAGGGACCCAGGGAGGCTCTGCACAGTGACAGGATGGGGGCGCGGCCCTCCAGCCCCTTGGACAAACGGCAGCAGCAGCAGCTGAGGGGTGAGCAGAGGGATGGGGGGGGGGAGTGGGTTGGGTCATGCTGTCCTCTGCACAGGAGGCAACACTGGCATGGGCTCCTGGCACCAAATATGTGGTTCCTGCTGGTTCTCTTGTCCTGCTGGGAGTGGGCTTGTATTGGAAAATTCCAGAGTTGTTCAATGTTTCGAGACAGGGTTTCCCTGTGTAGTTCAGGCTAGCCTAAAACTCTCTGTAGACCAGGCTGGGCTCAAAACCAGAGATCCACCTGCCTCTGCCTTCCACAGGCTGGTATTAAAGATATGCACTACCACTGCCTGGCTTTGGAAGATTCCAGATTTAAATGAAACTCAAATGGCTTTGCATGGTGGTGGATACCTATCATCCCAGCACTCAGGATCCCTGAGTTCAAGGCCAGCCTGGGCTGAAACAAACGGAAAGTGAAATGTGGCATTTTTGATGGGGGACTCGTGGGCCCACTGAGGGCAGAGGAGGGGCCAAAGGCAGGTGACTGCACATGGTTCTCATGGCCCTCAGGAGGCCTGGCTGCATGGACATTGGGACTGAGGCTTTCTGTACTGTCCTACACGAAACCTAGGAGAGCGGCTGGACTAACAGGATATGGTGTCTGTTCACCAAGGGGATGTGGCTAGGCCAAGCTAGACGAGGGTATATTGTTGAGAGAGTGTGGGAACAGCATTTGGGGAAGAGAACTACCCAAGCAAAGTCTTGCTTGTGCTACAGATCATCTCTCCAAGTCCCAGGACTAACTGCTGCCTGCGTTCGTTGTGTGCTGCTGAGTGAGGCAATCCTCCTCTTTAGGCCTCATTTTCCTGAGACTCAACAATGTCCTAGGATGAAAACACCTTTGTGTGTGTATGTGCAGGCCAGCGTCAACATTGGCTGTCCTCTTGGACTGCCTTCCACCGTACTCGTTGAAGCACGGACTCTCATGCTGGGACTCACCAATTGAGGCTGATCTGGCTGGCTGGCCAGCTTAGCCTGAGATGACACACAGGTCCCCTGGCCACAGTGTTGGTGCCTTCTCCCCCACAGGTCAGGTGGACAGCCTGCTGAGGGCATTCTTGCCATGTTACCGAAGGCAGCTGGCGGCAGCCGTCCTGAGGCAGATCTCCAGGGAGCTGGGACCCCAGGAGCCAGCAGGATGCCAGCTGTCCCACACCAAAGTGCGTGTGGTGGAGCACCCCTAGGGCATGTGGGGACCCAGCTGTGGTTGTCTCCAGAGGATGAGGTGCTGGGGAGGAAGCAGTGACCTCAGGGCCTTTGCACGGGTGGATCAGGAAGCAAGGCAGGCACCTGAGGCTTGGGGAAGTGTGTTCCCTGCCAGGGGCAACAGCCCTGGGGTTGGCCAAGGCTGGGTAGTGTGATCGAGGGCCCCAGCTTCCTCATGTACCTGCCCTGCTGTTGCAGCCATGGCAGCAGGGAAGCATGCCTTGATACGACCCCATGCCCATGTTTCTTGCTCCATTGTCCCTCTGAACCTGTTCTTGGAAGCTCAGGGTTCATTAGTGAGATCAAACAGCCTGGAGCTGTAGCCACTAATAGGCTCCCATGGTCTCCATCTGTCTCCTACCCTGGGACAGTCCTGGACTAATGAGGCAACTCAGGACCAGAGAGGCAGAGTGAGCCACGTGAAGAGTGCACAGGTGACTGGAACCTGCGGTTTCTCACTGGCTCACTTCCCTTCCTGCTGAGGGGAGGCTCCATGGGCAGAGGTCACCTCTGGGGACTCTCCCTGTCCCATGCAGGACATCCCCACACCTGCTACAGAGACTCATGTAGCTGGACTAGTCTTAAACTTGATGTGTAGCTGAGGCTGACCTTGAACTCCTGCCTCAGCCTTCCTGGTGCTAGGCTGCCTTTCAGCCTTAGGAGTCTGGTGGGTATGTGTAACCAAGCCCAGGCTGTCTAGAGACTGCATGGGAAACTGAGGAAAGAGAGTCACTGGGACCTAGCAGTCAGTGACCTCCCCATGGTACCACAATCAGATCCTGTGGCAATCAATCAATTAAATGTAAAAGAAAAGCTGAGGGCCCTGCTTTTGGTGGCAACTGAGACTCAGGCAGAGTTCAGGAGACCCTAAAATCTGCTCTAGACCCAACGACAGCTGGCATCCTCTTGCAGAAGCTGCCCCGAGTCCGGGAGCACCAAGGACCCTTGACCCTGCTGCGGGGCCACCCGCCACAGTGGCAACCCACCTTCTGTGTTCTGCGTGGGGATGGACGTCTGGAATGGTTCAGCCAAAAGGAGGTGAGTAGATGACCAGAGGCCCTGCCTAGAATCTCCCAGCAAGAAGCTGGGGGCATGGCCCTGGGGTGGAGACCCTGCTGAGAAAACCCCAGTGAGGGGCTGTGGGCATGGCCCTAGGGTGAAGACCCTGCTGAGAATCCCCCAGTGAGGGGCTGAGGGCGTGGTTTAATGGTAGAGTTCTGGCCAGTAACATGCAAGGTCCTCAGCTGCAGATGACCCAGAGGGATAGGGAAGTGCTTGGGGAGCTTGCTCACCTGCCTCTGGTGGTGAGGAACCTGTTTGGTCTCAAGCCTTTGTCTGGTCATAGGAGTATGAGTCTGGGGGCCCTCCCCTGGGCTCCGCAGCCCTGACTGGGTACATACTGCTCACTTCCCAGCGTGAATACCTCTGCCTTTTGGATGACCTCTGCCCAAGTTCCTCTGGTAAGCATCCCTGGGTTCCTCCCAGCCCTGTGGCCATTCTCCCTGTGCACTTTGGAAAGCTGGCTTGATCCACCTCCATCTATTGCCATTAGCAACTTCCTACCCACAGCGGGATTCAGTGTCTACAGATGTTGCCAGCTGTCCCTTGGTGGATGGCATTGTTCCTCAAGTGAGTACACTTGCTTTGGGAAGGAAAAGAAGGACCCACAGTTCCTAGGAGGACATCAGTAAAGTCAATGGAACAAAACCCAAATAGCAAAGAGTCTAAGGAACACAGCAGAAGTAATGCTGGTGGAGCCGGGCTTTACTCCCAGCACTCAGGAGGCAGATCTCTGAGTTTGAAGCCAGCCTGATCTACAGAGTATGTTTCAGGGCAGCCAGGTCTACACAAAGAAACCTTGCCTTGGAAAACAAACAAACAAAAAAGAATAAAGCAACAAAACAATAGAAGTTAGGGCTGGAAAGATGGCTCAGTGGATCAGAGTTCGATTCCCAGCACCCACATCAGGCTGTTCACAACTCCAGGGCATCTGATGCCTTTGTGCTTGACATATGTAAAAACACGCACATATGGTTGAAGATAAGCAGTGTGCAGGTTTGAGCACAGTCCAGCCGGGGGCCTGGGCTTCCAGTTTCTCCCACTCTGTCCCTGTTCACCAGTTCCAAAAAAACGACGTAGAGTTCATCTTGCCAGCCCACATAGTACTAGGGCTTCTGCTGTGTTTAATCTTTGGGACAGCTTTTGCTCTAAAGCCCATGCTGGCCAGGAAGTCACACGGGCTCTTTGAGGCTGCTGTCTCGCTTTCAGGAGATCTCGCCCAGGAGGAGCCTCTGAGGGTGCTGGAGGAACCGGTGAGCTTTGCGCTCTTCCTTGTGCACCCGTTCCGGGCTCACCTCTGCTTCTGCGCCCGCACACGGGGGGCGCAGCGCGCCTGGAGGCTCAACCTGCAGGGTGCCATCCGTCTGAGAGCCACCGGTGCGTGGGAGCAGAGCAGGGCGCGGGTGGGAGGCTGGAGGACGACGGGCATGGGTGCGGGGCT